TCTACTATAACAGAGTTATGGTTGTGACTGTAAGATAAATTTATCTTCCTATTATATGGTCTTATATTAATCCGTTTTCCTATTAGGTTATTGCTATTCCATAACATATTTGGTATTTAATTAATTTAAATATAATGGAGTATTTCCTTTTTTATCTCTACTTTGATGGACAGTTGAGATTAACTTTAAGGAAACCCTAAAGAGGAATTAGGTCCTCTCTCCACCTATAAATATATGCCTTTAGTCCATTGTAAAGGCATCCTAAAAGAGACACATAAAGTTCATAGGCAAGGGGAGAGAAACCTAATCACCTATCTCAGATTTAATACCTCCATCTCTTCTCTACAATGGTTAGAAGTAAGTCATTTATAAACTCTTATGATTCTATTATGTGATTACTCTGGATGTTTGAAGGTCTTAGGGTTCATGTAAAAGTATGCTTACATGTGGTATCAGAGAATGGTTGTGAACATCTGTTTAATCCATTAAGAGTAATAGGATCATGAACTGAATTGCTTCTTAGGTTTTGCATATATGAATCTGTATTTGATAGCGTGCATAATCTGTGTGTCTGAAATTTTAGTTTTCGGAAATTATTATCACCTTGCAAATCGCGTACTTCTGTAAATTGAAAATTTATCTGAATTTTGATTCCGTGCAATTATCGGACTTTTGCGAATTAGGGTTTCTTGAAATCCTTCTGTGATATTTTATGTCTCTGTGAATTTAGGTTTTTCATAGATTATTTCCGCAATCACTGAGTCGTGCATAATTCGTGCGAAATTAATGATGATAACTGGTTATGTGCATAAATCGTGTGAATTCGTTCTGCTTATAATCTCTGCATAATCGCTTGACCGATAAAATCTGAAAACGATTTTATATTATCATTCTGAAAATTATTCCGTGCATAATCCGTATTTGTTTCGAATTCAATAGTTCGAATTATGCATTCCCTACAAAACATTGGTTTCATATAATGTGCATAAATTGGGTTTAGATATCACCACAGTGACTACATCCTATAAAGATTTGCAATTGAAAACCATTGTTTGAATGAAGTGTTTGTATGTGTGTAGATTAAGGATATCCACAGATAACTTAGTCTAAATAATTCACTGCATCACTTGCTTATGATTCATGAACATGTGACCTTAATGTAGTTATGGTGATTACCCACAGGAATTCCATAATTTTGTCATATGCTTTTTAATTTATCATGTGTCTGATTATATTTTGAAGCCTAATTACACTACTTGTTGTATCTCTAAGCTAGAGCTTTTCCTGCTCACTTGTCATCAATGGTCTCTACTGTTCCAATCCTCATAGGGACCAACTTCTCAGAATGGAAAGAGAAAGTTGAGTTCACATTAGGAGTACTTGATCTGGAATTGGCACTTCGTCAAGATGAGCCAAATCCAGTGACTGATGAAAGTACTGAGGAAGAATATCAACTCCATAAAGCATGGGAGAGAGCGAACAGACTGAACATAATGTTCTTAAGGATGACAATTGCTAGTAATATTAAATCTTCCCTTCCATCTGCAGATAAAGCTAAGGCTTATCTTGCAGCCATATAAGAACGGTTTAAGACTGCAGACAAATTCCTTGCTGGGAAACTTATGGCAGATCTTACAACCATGAAGCATGATGGCACAAGGTCTATGCATGAACATTGCATTGAAATGATTGACCTTGCGGCTAAGCTGAAGAATTTGGGACTTAGTGTGGATGATTCTTTTCTTGTCCAGTTTATCCTGAATTCTTTGCCTCCTCAGTATGGACCATTTCAGATCAATTACAACGCCATTGATAAAAATGGACGTCTAATGAATTGACTAGTAAGTTGGTTCAAGAGGAGTCTAAGCTTGACCGTGAAAGGCATTAGGATTGCCCATCATGTCCAAGAAGCTAAATCTAAAACTGAAAAATGGCATTAAGTAAGCCATGAAAGAGCACTATCCAGAATTAAAGATTATAATCCACTTATTAAGAAGAAAAACGGCAAATAAAAGCTTTATAGTTTTTCATTAAAATTGCCTTAAAGATAAGATAATTCAAAAATTAAAGAGTAAATTATTAATTACATAAGAGTAACTGTCTTCTTACACATGTTTGATGCATAAATTTATCATCAATAACAATTCAAGGGAAACTAGTTCTATAAGGGAAAACGAAACAATCGAGTCAACTAAATTATTGACATTCATTGTCTCATTATTTGTTTCCTGGAAATTAGTTTCATTAAGAAAACTTGAATTGTTATTAACTTAAGGAGATAGTTGTTTTAATATTATTCTGAACCTGATTGAATTGGTTCTAGAATATTAATTGATGGCCTCTTATGTTAAACTTGGCTGATCAAGATTTTAAAATACATCTCATTGTGCATTCTAAAGGTGGACTTAACTGTCAACATGTGCTTAAGATAAGTATTCTTTGTGGTTTAAATGACTCGAACATGTTTCTAGCTAAAGAATTAATAATTGGAAAAGGATGGGTTCTTTTGAACCTAAATTTTACCAATAGTAAAGTGTGCCTAGATTGCATTAAGGGTAAGCAAACTAAACACAGTAAAAGAAGAACCACAAGAAGTATGTACCTTCTTGAAATCATACAAATATTTGCGGACCAATTTGATGTTCCAACATTGAAAGGAGAAAAGTAATTTGTCATCTTTATTGAAGGTTTTCACATTATTGTTATCTTTATCTATTGCATGAAAATTCTCAATATCTGAATGTTGTACAAACATTCATTACTGAAGATGAGAAGCAATTAGATAGAAAGCTGAAAATCATTAGGTAAAATAGAGGTGGTAAATTTTTATGGCAGAATGGTGTAACTCAAAGGTACAATCATACTTATGGAAATGGTTAGATCCATAATGATTCGGACTAACTTACATATCTCCTTGTGGATGAATGCATTATGTATTGCAATCAATATCTTGAGTAAAGTTTACAGCAAAACAGTTTCAAAGTCCTTTTGAACTGTGTAAAGGCTGGAAACCTAGTGTCTGACATCTTTAAATTTGATGCCCAGCTAAATCAAGAATATATAACCCACATGAAAAGGAATTAGATTTCAGAACAGTTAGTGGTTTCCTTTATGGTTAACCTTAGAAATCTAAAGGAAATATGTTTTATTGTTCATTCCATTGTATGAGAATAGTTAGAAACCTGAAATGCCAGATTCCATGAGAATGGCGAGATTAGTGGGAGTAATAAAGTACAAGATGTGATCATTCAGGAAATTAGGATAAATATCCCTTTACCCTTAACTCCGAATGTTGGGAATCCTCCTGTTGTTGAACCACTTAACAATGAGGAGAAACCAGTGAATGATCAATCACTCCATGATGAAAACATCGCCAATAATGAACTTGTAGTATAAGAGGAACCAGAATTAAGGAGATCAACTCGTGAGAGGAGATCTGCTATTTCTGATGACTACATCCCTTATCTCATAGAATCTGGGGGAGGGAGCATTAATGACCCGGTTTCTTATTCACGAGCCATAATAGATGTTAATTCTGATAAATGGATTGATGCCAGTAATGATGAAATAAACTTAATGGTTAAGAATGAAGTTTGGGACATTGTTCCATTGCCTGAAGGACACAAAGCAGTTGGGTGTAAGTGGATCTTTAAGAGCAAACTCGACTGTAAAGGCATTGTTGAACTATATAAAGCCAGACTTGTAGCCAAAATGTTTAATCAGAAAGAAGGCATTGATTATTGTGAGACCTTCTCACCTGTGTCAAGAAAATACTCTCTCAGAATTATCTTGGCATTAGTAGCTCAGAATGATCTGGAGTTACATCAAATGGATGTGAAAACCGTTTTTCTTAATGGAGACTTAGAAGAATAAGTCTATATGTGTCAACCTGAAGTCTTCATAATCGAAGATCAGGAAGACATGGTCTGCAAACTTAAGAAATCAATTTATGGACAGAAACAATCTTCGAGATAATGATATTAAAAGGTTTAATGAAACCTTATGAAATTTGGTTTCAGAAAGAAAACATTATATATCATTTTATGTATCTCAGGATCAGTGGGAGTATGTTCATATATAAGGTATTGTATGATGATGATTGGCTAGCAATGATTTTGATTTATTAATGAGACACTTAAAGGGGACAAGAAATCACATGCTGACTTATAGGAGATCAACACATCCACAGATGGTTGGTTTTTCAGACTCAGATTTTGGTGGATGCCATGACATTAGGCACTGCACTCTTGGCTATGTGTATCTCCTTGGCGGAGGTGCCATCTCATGAAAAAGCCAGAAGTCGCAGTTTATTTACACATCCACTATGGAAGCTGAGTATGTAGCATGTTATGAGGCTTCTACTTAAGAGACTTGGTTGAAGAATTTTGTGTCTGAGTTTAGGGGTGCAAAGCCTTTAACTCTTTATTGTGACAATCAAGTTGCCATCTTCTTTTCCAAGTATAATAGGATATCCAAAGGTGCCAAACACAGGACCTTAAATATCACTAAAGCAAGATGTCAAGAGAGGAAAGTTTGTCATTGAACACATAGGCACTGATCTTATGGTTGCAGACATATTTACGAAAGCTTTGCCTTCAAAGACCTTTATAAAGCATGCTGAAAGTATGGGTCTTGAAGACAGCTCTAAATTATGTTGTCTGCTTTTATGTTTAGCCTATATTTGACATTTTTTGAGATCTTTTATGACTCTTACATCTTTTATTTATTCTGTTTCCATTGTGCACACATTATTGTTTTGGATTTATGATAACAGAATTTGTCTTTCATTAAGACATAAAGGGACCATTATGATAACTCCTACTTATGGTCTAGCTATGAAGGTAGTCAATGTAGTAGTACATGGAAGGGATCATGTTGCAGAATGATATGCGACCGCCATGACTCCCATTGATTACTAGATTAGTCAAGACACTTATGATGACCAAAGAAAAGGGTTTAGCATATTATGCCGGCCTTATGATTCCAATAAGAAAACATAAATGGATCTTTATAACGACCAAGTGGGAGACTGTAAGATAAGTTTATCTTCCTATTATATGGTCTTATATTAATCCGTTTTCCTATTGGGCTATTGCTATTCCATAACATATTTGGTATTTAATTAACTTAAATATAATGGAGTATTTCCTTTTTATCTCTACTTTGATGGACGGTTGAGATTAACTTTAAGGAAACCCTAAAGAGGAATTAGGTCCTCTCTCCACCTATAAATATATGCCTTTAGTCCATTGTAAAGGCATCCTAAAAGAGACACATAAAGTTCATAGGCAAGGGGAGAGAAACCTAATCACCTATCTCAGATTCAATACCTCCATCTCTTCTCTACAATGGTTAGAGGTAAGTCATCTATAAACTCTTATGATTCTATTATGTGATTACTCTGGATGTTTGAAGGTCTTAGGGTTCATGTAAAAGTATGCTTACAGTGACTTACTATTTCTTCCTGAACTCACAAACATCTCTCAAATTACCATTGAATTGAAACCTAGATAACCCTTGAACAGACTTGATCTTGTACTCTCGAGTTCCTAATCAAATAAAAAAATGTTTTAACCCATTTTAGTAAAAGATAACAGGTGGTGGATGATCTAATAGTTGTGCATACTGAATTAGTACTTGCGGATGACATGAAAAAGAGAGTACTTATGTGCTACATAGCAAAGTTTTATGTCGCTCAAGATCATGATAGTTTCTGCGTCTCCATTCTTCCACCACCTATCATCAAGATTGAAACAAGAAGTTAGGCAAATGACAATCATATGGAGCATGTAATGCAAAAATAGTTGCATGGGATAAGGTTAAAAGCCGTCTTGAACATGAATCACTAAGGTATGGTCTTTTCAGTGTCGTGATTCCAACCACTATGTTTAAAACAACCTAATATACTGAGCTTTCGTTGGCTATTAGTATTGCAAACATGCGTAAAAGATGATCAAGACTCAATTGTTCACAATGGTCCATAACTCAACTTTCATTGGCTATGACTCATTGCTTACCAAATACTAGTTTTGAGAGCTAGATTAAGCACTGTTGTGGTTCTATCTCACTATGATCAGAATACCTAGATGTGCGGTAAAGCAATCATGCATTAAGTTCAAGTAAAGGTTAAGATCCATAAGTTAAAATCCCATTCAAATTGCACACAATCAAATCATCACAGCAACCATAGATCTCCTCGGCCTAACCGAGATATATACTCGGCCATGATGCAAACAACCAAGCCAAGCAAGATTGAAGACATTTTGCAAGTATTTAAAGAGGTAAAGGGATAAAAGAAAGATTCTCTATTGAAGAAACAGGTCGGATCTCCCTTAGAACTCTCGATCTCAAGTACACAGTTGAATAGAAAAGAAAAGGAAATTGAAAACAAGTAATTAACAAGTGCAAGGCTTGAGCGGCCCCTCCTTCTTCCTAGACGACGAACTCCTAGGGCTTTTCTTCTCCTTTATGGAGGCTCTTATCTTGCACGAATCTCTCTCCCTGATCTCTCTTTCTTTGGAGGCTAAAAACATGTATATATGGGCGAGAGTTGATATACCTCTATTTTACATGCTTTTTATACTGTTTTAGTTTGTTTTCTAATGGTTTTTGGCAGGTTTTCTATCTAAAAAGGTAGTTTTATTGGATTTAAGTACTAGAGTCTAAACAGGTGAAATGATGCATTTTGGAGCAAAACCATAGAATTGGCGCTTCAAGCCGCTCCATACCCAAGCATCAACTTTGAGAGGGCCCAGAAAAAGATCTACTCAATGGATTTCATCAAGACCAGTTCCCCGCGTGCTCTGAGTGAGTTAACTCTCCAACGCAATTGGATTGGCATCATTTGGATGAGTATAAGTGAAGTTATGATCAAATTAGTGAAGACTGGCCAATGTATCCACTTCATCCGCGTCCCGCAAAGTCCACGGCCGAGCTCACGTACCGACCCGGAAAGAAACGTCCCGCGGTCGAGCTGTTCTTAGCTCGACCGCGCCGACGCGAACGAAGGCAAGCTCGCGGCCGCGCGGCACAACCATGTACCACGGCCGACCCATCCGTCCGACCAGGAAGGCTTCGTCCCGCGACCGGCCAAGATTCATCGGCCAAATCATCCATCCGTCCGACCCCGTCGGCCGAACACGAAAACTCTCGGCCACGATCGTTCCGACCGTGCCGATAGCCGACTACGACCCGATGACCGGCCGACCGTCCCGACCGACCGTCCGAACGGTCCGATCGACCCGAAGCCCGTTTTGAAGCCCGTTTCACACGTTTTCACAGCCCGGCTTGACCTAATGCCGCCTCTGAAGACCTAGCATTATAAATACAACTTTTTAGCCTCTTGAGAGAGAGAGCCGCCCTTGTATCACGATTTTCATACTTAGAGTTTTTGCAATCATGTTTTCTTCATCTTTATGTGTTATTGCTTTGATCATGTCTGAGTAATCCACTAGTTAGGTTGCTAGGGTTACTAATCAATGAGTTGCTTGCATGATCTTTGATTTCGATGTTTAGCTAGGGATTATCATAGAGTCTTTGTCTCGTCTTGTGCACTTAACTAATGCTGATTGCTTTACCGCGCATCTAGTAATCCGATCTTAGGTTGATTTGAGCCTCGAAAGTGTTGTATCATTCGCCGGACATATTCTTTGACAAGCTAGGTTTCTTAGACTGCGAAAGTTGATTTACTATAACCTAGTGAACTGTATCAGAACCTGCTCGATCTAAAGCTTGATTTAATCACCTAGGGACATACCAAAAGTTTAGCGACTAGGTAGATTAACAAAGGAACCGGAGCCTCGAAAGTGGAATGGTTTTATATTCGTGATCTGTGTTCTAGACGGTTTTTAATATCCCAATATCCCTACATCAATTCATCTATCATTGTTTCATTGATCATTGCTTGCTTCTCTGCGATTAGCCCCTGTTGACCTAGCGCTTCTTTCCATTGATTTACAACCTCGTTTACTTGCTAGTTTAGTTACAATTACAACCTCCAATCATACTTTTGTTTTAGCTTGATCCAAAATCTATAGTTTCAAAGTGTACTCAATAGCCAGTCCTTGTGTTCGATACCCATACTTCCGCGATCTGTGCACTTGCAGAGGTCTAAAGAGTTTGGTAAAACCAGACTCACATCAAGAGTCGAGTAGGGTTTTCGGTGTGCCGGAAATGGAAGGTTTCACATGAGTCGCGCCTCTTTAATCACGTCGTGTATGGGCTGGGATTACATCAAGGAAGACTTTAAAGATCAGCTAGGCCGCTTCCTGAGAGAGCCAAAGCCTATCTGCAGTGGTCCGGGCCGTGGGATACACCAAATCTTGCCATGGGCTTCATCTTGTAGCTAATCGGACATGTCTGATGGTTGATCCAAATGTCTTCATTCCCATTCGACGCGATGCATGACTCGAATATCTATCCATCAAGACCAAGATTACCTCTTTTGGACGTCGGCAACACCTCCATTTACGGCTAAACTTCTGATACTCCGTTTCTGCTCGATAGCAAGAATCGACACTTAGAGATAAACTGATGCTCATGAGTTGGAAACTTGCATGGAACTTGGTTTGACGCTCTTTTGCTCATGTTTGCATCTTTTGTAATAGTTTCACCTACAAAGACTTCAAATACAAGAAAATTACCCCTAAAGGCAAAAGATTTTATGAAAAATGCTTGAAAATATAAATAAATATTAAGTGCAAACATGTAAAATATAGTGATATCAACTCCCCCATACTTAGCCTTTTGCTTGTCCCCAAGCAAACTAAGGAGAAAAAGAGGTTTGAAAACATGAGAACTCTCAAATCTTTCAAGATCGAAGTCGACTTTTACTTTAGCAATCGGCATAAGACAGCAATAACAATTTTTAATTAAGAAAGAGTACATACCATGAGTTTTGCGATCATCCCAAACAGTCACCACCTCTCCTTAGACCATTCAAATTCGCCATCCTTGACTTCTTTAGTTTCTAAAGTTGTGGTCTCAACTAGGGAGTATCGATCAGTCGGCTTTTTGATACTATACCCATCCTCTTGATTAAACACATGTCTTCACTTCCTGTTCCTCCTCTCTCTCTTCTCACTTCTTCAAGTTGATTCATCCCTCTATTAGAGTAGCAATGTAAATTTTTTTTATCAACTTCTTCTCTTTAGTGGTTTAGAGATTTTCTTACTTGGATGGATCTTCCAAAGACGTGAGTATTGATGGTTGTAGCCACCTAATTCCCGATTACTTGGATTTATAGGCCTTCCATAGACGCAAGTATTGATGGTGGTTGCCACCAAATCTCCGGTTACTTGGACCTTGATGCTTTTTCTTTAAATTGAAGGGGAGAGAGAGGGAAACATGGACTCACACAGACTTTCATTTGATGGTGAGGATGAGGAGTCATGCCTTTTGCATACCAAGCGCCTAGCTGAGAAGATTAAGTTCATTAAGGGCGGAGTCAAAGATTGATCCTTCTTAAGCCCTTAGAGGTGTGGGAGTTTTTGGTAGATCGATCCACTCATAGTGCACTTCTGGTAAAGTGTATTGCCAAGAATTTCTCAATGGTCACTTAAATATCAGCACAACAATGGTTAGATCCAAGATAAGGTCATGATTCTCAACAAAACTTTTGACACAGTAAAAAGACGACTCAATAAAAACAATATAATGCAAAATAAAATACCAAAATGAAAAAACTTAGTTAGTAATTATCTCCCCAGAACTTAACTTGCACCGTCCCGGTGTAAGCAAATCGGATGAAGAGAGGTAAATAAGAGAAATGAAATGAAAAAATTAAAAAGATAAAGCTTGGGATGATGTTACCAAATGATGACCATTATGTAATGAAGATCAGGTCCGGTTTGGTTGATAGTACTCCTCTTTAGGCAATACTGGTCGGTGAGTTTTGAATTTCAGGCCTTGGTTCACACCAGTTTGCGTTTTGGCCGAGATGGTATATATCGTTCGCCCGAATGGTAATGCTATGAACTACATAACAACCCATTAAAAGATTCCTTGACCTATATTGAAATTTCATTGACCAACCTGATATTTTGTGGCCTCTGGTGAAGTTTGAGTGCATTCAAACTAGTGGACTGAGACTTCCTTCGCAAAGTGGGCAATTCAGCTCCGGGAAGGAGTTTCCTTGACCAACTGAAGTTTGGCTCATCCGTTTTTGTTTCTTCCTACATAGATGTGTTAGTTAGGCTCCATGAAGTGATTTCCAGCCGCTGGTCGCGCCTATGCCGTGATTTTGTTTTGTCGGCCATTTTCTTCACCGCGGTAGACCGGATACGGCTCTTGTGTACATCTCCTGAACCGTGAACATTTCACTGTCGTATCTTTTGGATTTTCTGACCAAAGTGTGATTTTATGGCCGCCTGTGAAGTTTGGTGGACTTCGGGGACACAGTTTGGGAATTGGCCGAGACTTGGTTCTTCGTGTACACGTCATCGCCGAGAGAACTAGGCAGGTTGGGACATCTTCAAATCTACTCGGTCCAAATGGGATTTTCTTCGACCGAATCGATTTTCTATCCTTCCTCTATCATTCCCAGGTGTTGACTGCCTTGTTCCTTGTGATTATGCGTGATTCTCCTTTGAAACCTTCCTTAAGCCGCTAGGGTATGATGGTTTTGGGTTGGTTATAGAAACTCTCCATGTATTCTTCCAGTCAAATAATTTGGCACTTGAAAAAATCTTTAAATCACTGATCAGATCGTTCTCAGCTTGAGATCCTCAAGTAGTCATCTTGAAATTCTCAATCTAAAGAGTAAGGGTAAATGTATAAACTATATAAAACATTTTGGATCTTGAATAGGGATCTCAAGGCCAGATTATAGTTTAGTATTAGTGAAATCAATGCATAATATGAGTTTGACAAGTGAATATTCATTCTCATTCAATTACCATCAAAAGTAAGCAATATAAACCATGAAATATTTCTAATAAAGTGCAATAGTTTAAATTCTCATGAAGTGAAGATCAAAGATGGTTAAGGTTGAATGTATTAGTAATAGTTACTTACCTGGTATGGAGATTTTGCCTTGAATGGGACACTTTCAAAGTTTGGTCTCTTTTTGGGTCTTCATTCTATAAACATTTTTTTTTGTATTTTTTTATAATTTTAAAAATTCCTGCAAAATTAAAATAGATAGTTAAAAATATAAAGATAATATAAAAAATGAAAATGCAAATAAAACCATGTGGGTTGCCTCCCACAAAGCGCTTTGTTTTAAGTCATGTAACTTGACTCATTTTTTTTCTTTTTAAGTGTTGGGAAGAGCAACTAAAAGGGTTTGGGGTCCCTTTAGCTTCTCAATTCTCTGGTTCAGGAGGCTCTTGTGGTGGTTTGGTCTCTCCAAGATCGTTTCCCATGTCATCCTTGGGAAAAGCTTCATGGTCTTCCCGAGTTTCTCCTTCATGGAATGATCATCTTTAAGCTCCGGATCCATGGGGGTAAGGATTCTTATCTGGTGGAAGGACTTAGACACACCATCAGGCTCCTCTTCACCTCCATATTCATCAAAGCTTGGAAGCAAAACCGAGTTGATGTCCTTGAAGACATCTTTATGTTTCAGCTCCAATGGTTTCTTCTTCTCCTTTGTTTTTTGGGAAAGTGCTCACTCTTCTTTGTTTCTCTAGGTATCAAGGCTTCCTTCTTAGGCATGATAGTGGCTTCTTCTGGTGGTAGCTTGGTTGCACTTGGTGGTGACTTGAAGTTCATGGTTGGGAAGAAAACATCTTGCCGAATATTGACGAGTGACAAGTGGTTTCTCAATTAGTCGATGACCGCACTGGCTGTGGCTAGGAATGGGATTCCAAGGAAAAGTTGATTCCTCTTTGAGGCTTCCCATACCATGATTTTTAAATCAGTTCGGACAAGTCGCCCTCCTTTCTCCAGCATAACATCTTCAAGAACTCCATAAGGCTCTATCATGATAAATCCGCAAATTCAACTCTCACCTTTGGACTCTTGAATTCCTTGAATCCCTTGAATTCCTTGAATCCCAAGTCTTTTGCTAGTGCAAGAGACATGAGGTTCACATTAGCACCAGTATCACATAGTCAATCATTGAGTTGATAGCCATTGATGCAAGAAGTGATCACAAACTTCCCCGGATATTCTAGCTTTGGTAGTGGCTTGCCTTCTAGTCTTCTCTTGTAAGCTCTTCTTGATTCCCATGTGTATCTACCCGGCTTTTGCCTCTCCTTATACTCATATTCTTCTGCTTTCCCTTGAGATAGTGTGGGAACAATCTGGTTCACCTTAGACAAGACAACACTACAAAACTTTTGAGGGTTTCCCTCATGTTGCTTCTTAGCCGCCT